TATCCGAGTCCAGATAGATGACCCGTTTCACGCACGGGTCGATAATGTCACCCAGGTAATTCCGAGCGTAGTTCAGCGGGTTCTCCAGAGCGGACCGGATCGAGGAGGAGATTAGGTTTATGACGGTGTCCTCTCGGAAGATGTAGACCTTGAATAGTGAATTTATGTTTTTTTTTTTAGTTGTGTTAGTAGTGGATTTACGTATGTTTTTAGTGAATTTCGATAACTTTGTTGTTGATTATATTATTATTAAAGTGGATTACGTTAATTTTTCGTAATATAATTGGTTTTGCATTTTTTTTTCTTGGACATAGTAGTGGTTTACGTTTCAAATAACGAGAAGAAGATGATTACATGGACTATGCTTTAGGGTTCATTGGAGAGAAGATGGTGTCTTTTATAGTGGGTTTATAGCTTATTTTTCGCAGAATTTTGATGTTTCCTTGTTAGAATTCATAGTGGTTTTCGATGTTTATATAATTGTATATATACAGCGGTTTTCATGTTTATATAGCTATTTTATGCAGAGTGGTTTTCATACTTATATAGATGTTTTCATAGAGTGGTTTTCAAAGTTATAGCGGTTTTCGAAGTTTATAGTGGATTACACTTCGATAAATCGGCTGGATGTTTTTTTAAATATTAAAATAATAAAAATTAATCGAATTAAAAAAAAAATAATAATAATTAAACAAAATATTTTTTATTCAAGAAAAGTGGGAAAAAATAAAATAAAAAATCATTTAAAAAAAACCGAAATTAAGAAAAAAAAACTATTAAAAATGAGGAGAAAAATAAAACTATTTTTAAAAAAATCAAAATAAAAAACATGAAATGTAAATAAGAAAAAAATAATTTAAATCTAAAAAACCGAAAAATAAAAAAAAATTACAAAATAAAAGAAAACCATTAAAAAGAAAAGAAAAGGAAAAATATAATTTGAAATGGCGTAATATGGGAGATATTAAGGGGATTAGCATATTTAAAAAAAAATAATTATTTTTCGTTAATAATAAATGGGGGCATTTTGGATAATTCATGTCAATTGGGTTTATGTCAAATATCAATTAATAAAAATGGATTTATCATTAAGTACAAATTGAATGATGGGTGTTTGTCATATAGCCCCTATATATAAAAGAAGGAAAATCTGGGCAACCCTAAAAAACCATAATGGTATTTATGTAATTAAATATTTTTAATATTTTTTTTCTTACTAAAATTTTTAACAATTATCAAAATTGAAACTAAATTCCCAAGAATCTTATCTAATGGTACTTTTGTAACTATTTATTTTTTATATTTTATGTCTACTAATTTTTTAACTATAATTTTCAACAATTATCAGTCTCCTATGTTTCATGTTTCATGTATATATCTCAAATCTTAAGAGATAAAGGTAGAAATTCGATTCGTTAAATCTTAATCTATATATTTGCATTATAAATCTTAATATGTCAGATTTAGAAAAAACTAATGTTATATAAAATATGAATAATATTGCATTATTAAATTTTACCATGTTAGTATACTACATTTTCTTATTATGTATTAAATTGATTATTTTTTTTTCACTTTTGAAATAATATTCCGTGCATCGCACAGGGAAATAATGTTGGTTAAGAATGATAACAAAATAAAAAAAAAATGAAATACCTTTGTTCCAAAAAAGTTGATGAGTAGCTTGAGTAGCACGTAAATACAATGGGGTGCAAGTGATAGCTTCTTTCGATCCATAGTTGACTTAGCTCTACGTATATAAGCTAAGGGTTCATCTTCCAGAGCAATAGTTAGTGGTACGAGAATAACGCCTACCAAATTTCCCCACATTCCCGTTAATTCCTTCTTCTCATCCATAACCTCAATCAAATCCTATATTTATTTAAAAAAAATTAATTAATTTCACCAAAAAAAATATATATATAATATAAAATTTTCTGAAAAAAAAGAAATTAAAGATTTACACATTAACACATTTACCTTAACTGAAGGTGATGGCCTGAGGTTAAAAGAAATGCCTGCTCTAATACGAAGATCTTTCGGTAATGTATTATTACTTTTCTTGATGATTTCACCACCATTTTCTGTATGTTTCTCTGTGGTTGCACCTATGAGAGAGAGAGAGAGAGTGAGAGAGAGAGAGAGTAATGTAACTTAAAATTCAACTTTAATTTTTTTATTATATATATATATATATATATATATATATATATATATATATATATATATATATATATATATATATATATATATATATATAAATATATATTTTTTTCTCTCTCTCTCTCTCTCTCTCTCTCTCTCTCTCTCACACACACACACACACACACACACACACACACACACACAGACACAGAGAGACAGAGAAAAAAAAAAAGAAAAAAAGAGAGAGAGATATATATATATATATATGTGTATCTCTCTCTCTCTCTCTGTGTGAGAGTGTGTGTGTGTGTGTGTGTGTGTGTGTGAGAGAGAGAGAGAGAGAGATAGA